ATTTCCAGCAAATTGCTTATAACTGTCTTGGCCGGCACATGTTTTTACAAATTTCTCACCTCCAGGACATGTGCTCAGAAGTCGAGGAACCTTCTCTGTGGGAGCTGTGGAGAGAAAATCACGAAAAAGCTGTAATAATTATTATTTTGCACGATTTCTGCAAGGGAGCAAGAGTGATGTATTACATCTGCAGATCATTTGTGTTCTATAGAGGGCTTCAAGTCTGGATCGAGGGCATACATGAGCCTGAAAACTCTCCCAAAAGATGCCCTTAAATCATTGAAGAATAAAGAAACTTAAGTATGACTTGATATGCCACATTTATTTACAAAGGTACAGAGTTGAAGTGTTTGCCATCAGAAGTAGTGTTAAAAATCATGCCTCAATTAGTTTAGCATCTTTTTCTCGCAACTTTCCGACACTGAGGGTGACACACACCTTGTTTTATTTACATGTAAGACCTAAACAGACCTAGGACTTCTCTAAAGTTGACTATGACACCTACTGTATAATTTTGGCACATTTTTCATTCTTTTTGCCTGAAACTCCTGGCGAATAACATCCAAGCAGTGGTTCACTCTTTGCTGTTAATTAAAAGAAGGCAGTATGAGTATTATCTTGCTAGCTTACTCCTTTATTCTTAACCACCAAGAACTCTCATTTGTGAGGAATAAGTGGTCATGACTACTGAATTTTAATGGCACATACCTTGTCTTCCACTGATCGCCTTTCAGCTGCTTTCTTATAGCGTGACTGATATGCCAGCCATGTACGTCTCTAAAGAAAAAAAAAAAAACACCTGACAAGTCAGTTGTGTTTTTTTTTTTTTGCTGTACATATATCTTTAACATGGATGTCACCATGGAAAGAGTATAAAAGCAGCAATAAGCAGAGTATATTTATTACCCTGCTTGCTGTTGTTCTTTTGTCGGCATGCAGCCTGCAGTGCGCAAACAGTGGATCTGCAACATCCTGCAATAAAACACAACTTTCATCAAGACATTCACTGTCTGATATACATGTCCTGCACAAGATGACATGCACTACGTGTGTTTGTTTGTCCATAAATTTGACTTAAGATTTTTAACTGTAAAGCTGTACCTCATCGCATTCTTCTGGAACATCTGACAGAAGTCCATACATCTGGGCACTGCAGAAAATTATCCAAACAAGCAAGAAATCAAAAACGTGTTTTTATTAACATTATGTAGCATAATACTTTGTATGTTAAAAAATACAATGTGTAGGTTGCTGTTACAAAATGTCAAAGCACAAAATTAATGTGAATAAACCAAAATGTTGAGTAAAGTTTTCATGTGGGGATAGCTAATTTCTACATATATGTACATGTAGAAGCATGTGGTACTGGTTCTGATACATGTAATACTCACCATGTGACGTGAAAATATGTCCTGCACATACCAGCATCACATTCAATGCACACTCCTGTCCTACAGAACCTCTCATCCTCACAAAGATTACAATCCTAATCAGATAAAACAAGAACAACATTACCATCAATTTCAGCCTTACCCAAGACATCTCACAAGATGATCAGAACCTTATTTCTTGAAACATCAATTTAAAAAAATAAAGCAGCATTACTTTAGGGCAATAGACCAGGAACTGTGAATGAGTGGGAAGTTCCTTTGATAAATTTGTTCTTTGTACTGTAAAAAGGTAGGCATGGTGGCCTCGTGGTTAGTGCACTCGACTCTGTATTGTGTGGTCCGGTTTTGAACCCTGGCCGGACAAAATGCGTTGTGTTCTTGGGCAAGACACTTTACTCTCACAGAGCCTCTCTCCACCCAGGTGCATAAATGGGTACCGGCAAATTTAATGCTGGGGATGACCCTGCGATGGACAAGCACCCCATCCAAGGGGGAGTAGAAATGTTCCTAGTTGGTTCATGCTACATAAATCGTGATAAGCTTTGGCAGTATGGGCCACTTGGCTCAAACACAGACTTCACCTTTAGTTTTACCTTTAATATAAAAAGGATAATTTTCGAATTACCTTTGCACCCCACTTGTAAGGTGGCACTTCGGACAAAGTGACACACTGAAGTTGTTCAGGTTTCACAAATGCCACATCTGGAGTATACAGAGCACACAACAGATGAACCCACCTGGACAAATACATCAAGCATATTAGTTTACATAACATCAAACACTTTGGGAAATATTACCAGTTTACTTTCAAAAGACTATTATTTTATTAACCAGTGAGGGATAAATATTAATAGTCCCTTTAATTAAACAACTAAAAACTACATTACAGCTTACAAGAGGCAGGTAAGATTTCCAAGAATCCAAGCCAAACTTGAAAGTTATAAGTCTTATATTATCAGTGAACAGGGAAGACAAATGTGAAATCCAATATGAAAGATCCTAAATGATGGCGGATGTGATCTTTTGGATGACTTCTTTGATCAGCAACATGCTCAACAAAACAGACATCTAACTTTTAGAGCAAGCGTTAGGCTATCTACTTAAGGCATAATGATTTTAATGTGTTGATTACAACAAAAGCCCATCGGGGAGGGGGGGGGGGGGCACTCGAAAAAGGAAAAAAAAAGCCTGCCCTTCACTTACTGCCCAGTATCTGTCTCCTTGAAAATTCCACCAAGATTTGGGCATAATTCACAATCCTGTAAAATAAATGAACAATATTACAACAAAACAATGATTTATTTTTATTTTAAAAGAAAAAGAGTCAAAGCAAACAGTTAATTTTTTCCAGCAAATGTGCAGTTCCAGAAAATATCCATACTCCCTGGCCCCCACAGAAGGGATTGGAATTTCCTGGGGGGTGGAGGGTTCTTTAAGACCAAAAAAATGTATAGAAATGTAAACCAGCGCAAAGCTTAATTGGAGTTTCCAGAGGGGTGGTAGGGTCTTAGGAGAAGCCGCTTCTGTGGGGTAGACATGGAAATTTTCTGGTACTACATAATTGCTAATATTATAGCAGAAAATTTGAAAAATTAAACTTACTGGTTGCACTCCTGTCTTACAGGCATCACAAAACCACAGTTCAGTGGGTGAATCCGTGTCGTTACTCTTCCCAGAATCACTCTCCTCATCATTAATACCATAGCAACCTGGAATATATTTTAGTCATTTTTATTTCAGTCACTAATAAATAACATTAACTGAAGCTAAGGAAGGTGCCTGTGCCATGCAAATATCATATAATTATAATAGTGTATACCTTCATGAACAGTGATACCACAGTTGTCGCATTCTACTATCTCATCTCCTTCATCACTGTCAGAACAAAAACCAGGTAGAGACAACAAGTCACTACATCAGCAAGAACTAATTAAAGGTTGGAAAACATTTCCTGTGCTTCTTGCTAGAACATGTTTTCTGGTTCCCTTATTTTAGACTTTTTACTTAACAGAAGGTGTATATAGTTTACAGTATTATTATCCCAGCCTCACTTTGTTCATGATTGACTGCAGAATAAAATAACAACATATCTTGAATCAGGAAGGACCAATGTACACAAATAATCCTGAGAACCATTCACAGCAATGTAAAATTTCTTCCAGTACAGTAACTATTTTCCAAAAAGTAACCTGAAATCTTTCACTTAGTCACCTAGCCCTACAAACTGACAAAGTTTAAGCAAAATTGATTTTTGTTTTTTTACCATTGCCACGATGTCTTTGATTTTTACTGACATTTACCTCACATCATCTAAGCACACTCCACAGATTAATATGTCAACTTTCTTAGATGAAGCAGAAACTTCACTTGATGCCTGCAGGAAACAAGAAGTTGGTAGATCAGTAGATCTCAATCATTATTGTCAAAGCATAATGAGGATGCTTTGTTTTGCATGCCCAGTAAGAAATTTAGTATTGCATAGATCTTTGCTATGTGTAACAACCCTGGATTTTTAAAGGACATACATGTAGGAGGAGTGCATTGAGGACCCTGAGGTCAAGCTGAGTGCTTCTTGCACTTCTGAAATGCTCCAAACAATATTTCCAGGGTGGTAATCTGGGTGATAATCAACTGAGAAGAGCACTTTACTAACAGCTGTTGAAATAGATAAATTACTTACTACAGAACTAGGCTGACTAGGAGCTGCAGCCTTCTTCTTGGTTTTCATAGCCTCTATCAAGTCTCCTACCGTAAAGGCACTAACAGATCCTGTAAGTTCACTTTCATCATCGTCATCATCATCATTGTCGTCATCCTCATTAATGTTGTCATTGTCATCATCGCCGTCGTCGCTGACGTCTTCGCCTTGTTTGGTAACTTGACTTTTGTCTTGTTCCTGCTCGGTGACATCATTCTCTTCATCTGAACCTGAACCTCCTGAATAACAGAAATAAGCAGGGACTGGATTGAGCTATTCCAGTTGCCTTAGGATGCAAGATAGGTGGGTACAGTGGAAACCTGCTTTACAGTCACCTCATTAGTATGGTCACCTTGTTATTATGGCCAGTCATTTTTGACCCAGTGAAATGCTCATACATTTTCTTATAAGAAAACCTGTTAATCTGACCACCCTGTTAATACGGCCACATTCTGAAATCCCAACCTGTGTTATCCTCTATAATTTTACCCTTGTTAATATGGCCACTCGAACCAGTTATGTTCATCTTTCCATTATTAATACTGTATGTACTGATTGAAGTTTCAACATTTTTAAAGAACTGTACCTGGATTTTGAATGCTTATTAACTGAAGAACAGTCACAATTGTGATGTCTGTCAAGACATCTTTTAGAATAGACTAGTCATGAAATTTGACCCTGACCCATGAATACAGCCACCCTGTTATTATGGTCAAATTTTCATGGTCCTATGGTGACCTATTAACAGGGTTCTACTGTTTAAATGTACATGAGGAGAGAGATTGGTTGCATTGATCACATGGCACAGAAACTCGGCAAGTGATGATAATAATTATTATCAATAACAACATTCTTGCATAGAACTCTCTGAGAAAAAGGAATGTTGTTAATAAGGCCCGGGTTGCACCAGAGCCAATTTTGTTTGTTTAAAATATTTCCAATATTTGGTGAGGAAAAAAAATTGGCAAAAATTTTCTATCTTCCAAATTTTGGCAGCGGTTGTATTAGACCAACATGTTGGAACCAAAACGTTACTGATCGAAATATACATCACAAGATCTATTTTTCTCAAT